CGGGGGTGCACGGGGGGGTGAGCGGGTGGGGGGGGGGGGGGGGGGGGTCGGTACAGAGAGTATCGAGTGTGTATGTTTGGGTTTTGCACGAAGTTTGCCTGAGGATACTTTTTGAAGGCTTTTCAGACAGCAAAAGGTCTGTATCACAGTGAAAAGGGCCACGTTGGTCCTCTCTCACTTTGTAGCGAAGGGCTGCAGAACGTTGCAGATTTCTGATCCCTTAAGAGAAAACAGAAGAAGAGCTTTAACAAGTTTGGCACTGCTTAGTGGTCCCAGATGTAAAAGTGACAAAGGGAAAGGAGCGTCAGCCATCCCCACTCATCCTCAAAGGCAGTGACGGAGGAGTGCAAGTTATTGTTCTCCTCCAGTTAAACTTGGCAAAGAGGAAGCAATGTCACACCAAGCCACGGGCTCCGTCCTGGGAAGCTGACATGAGTTGGTGACGTTCACTCTCGGCTCCTCCAGGAGTTTGAGGAGCCGCTGTACCTGCTCCCAGCGAGCCTGCTCGCCCCCTGCACTCTTCACACCCTCCATCCCGCCAGTGCCCCGTCACCTGCACCGCGCTTCACCTCTATTTTTTCATCCCTTTCCCTTATCTTACCCGTTCTCTCTCCCCTGACTTCCTTTTGGTCTCGCAAGGAGAAACAGTCAACATGGAAGGACAGAGCGGAACATAAGACTTCTTTCCAAGAAGTTGAATGCCTGCTGTACCCTTGCTGTCCCTCCCTCGGCTAAGGTGTCCTTTCACAGGAGCAAAGGGAAGCTTTTTGGTTCAGTCAGTTGTGGTTTGGGGTGTTTTTGTGGTTGGTTGTTTTTTTTTTTAAGACTGGTGAAATGTCAGATCCAAACTGCGCGTTATGCAGATGCAACGATTGTATATTTTTGTGAGCTGTCCCTCACCAAAACTAACCAAACTACAGTTAGTTTGGTTAAGGAGTCGAGTGCATCCCTCACACTCACATAGAAAAAGCAGCAAGTTAAGAAATTTGTGTATCACTTCGGCTGCATTTATGTTATGAAATCCACTTTTCAACTAAAGTGTGCAATTGAAAAGAGAGCCCAGCTCTTTTTTTTGGAATACAGTTTTACTTCCTAAGGAATAGTTGGTGTTAGTCATTTTCCATTACTCAGTGCTAGTGAGTGATTACTCAATGCAGACCATAAAGAGACGGACCAGTCTTGCTTTAATCCTACAACACACAAAGAAAATTACCTTGAAAAACACAACCTTTTCTGTGGTGCTGCTGTCTTAAATTCACAATTCAGGTTCCCAGATCTACCCCTGCGCCTAGGGGGCCAAGCAACCACAAAATCTGAAAGCGTGTACAAAAGGATGTGTATCCAAGTTACACTAAAGAGTACTTCCTCATTTGCAGTGATAAGGAAATTGCAATATTGGTTTAAGTATTCATCTGTGAACACACCTGCAAATGTTACAGTAGCTGCCAGTTTCTTCTGAAAAGCTCCAAGAAGTCAAACCAATACATCTAGAGTTAGTGCCGTAAGGCAGTAATGAAAACAATGGTTTTATTTACGTTGTGACACTTAACACTGGTTTCGAACAGAATAATTACATTTGTGAGGTGGTATCATAATAAACACCACAAAAAGCATGTTACAGAAACAAAGAGTTTTGGTAAGATATACAAGTTTAACACGAGAGAGCGAGCTGTGGAAAAAAATATTTGCAGTTTCCATGAACTGTGTACAACTCGTTGTGAAAGAAACTTTAAGGACAGAAAAAAAACTTTAAAGATGGAGTTAAGGCTCTTACTTGCAAGTGATCTTCCTATTGGAAGCACATTGAAAATATTTTCTCTAAACAGGATGCAGCTTGAGGATTTAAACCTGTGCAAGAAGCTTCACAATTGTGATGCTGCGGAGCTCAGCGTCCACATTAGTAGGGGCTGCGTGTCTTGTTTCCTCTTTACGCCACTCTTTACTGTACAAATGAGCCCTTACCATATGCCTTTACCCCAGGATTAAGGTGTGCATGCAAGCTAAGTCCCCATCAAACGTAAAAAGAGAAAAGGCATTTCTTCTCTTGTCCCCTCAGCAGGGAACTAAAACTGGTATTTCCAGAATAGAGGGAAATCAGACATCCCTTTGTAAAAAAAGCTATGTACATAGAGTATCTGTAGTTACTGCAAAGTAAACTTGCCTACTTTGGCTTTTAAAATGCATGAAGGTGTAAGCCTGGATAAAATCAAGTAAACCAGCCTTTCAGTTACAAGCAGCGTCAGGTACATCGGGTTGCACTCCAGGTGAGCGAGGTGAAGCAGCACAAACAGAATTTTCGCTAGCACTGAAGAGAATGAAGAGGAGAGCAAAGCCTTTAATAAAACCCGTAACTAAAACCAGTACAAGTTCCAAAATGGCATCTAACTAAAACTTGGGGGCTTGGTGGCACAGAAAAAGGGAGATCACCCAGGCAGCTCAAAATCATCTGACTGATGAAGGGACCTACTATACCTTCTGAGGTTCACTTAAAGCCATCTTCATGCATTTACGTATACTGTACCTCCCTCAAAGCTACGTACCCATTTCATCCAGGATTTTGGGAGCCATTACAGGAAAGGTCTTTACTGGAAGTTAGCAAAGGTTTTTTCGTTTGTTAAAGAAAATGCTTCGTAGGCATTGTAGGGTACTAAGTACCCCTTGCTGAGCACCAAAATGAAAATGAGGTCTTGGACACAGAAAGCGTGGGGGGAAGGAGGGCAGGACAGTAGCTTGTGTAAGAGCTGCTGCTGCTGGAGTCACCATCCCTGGAGGTATTTAAAGGACCTGTAGATGTGGTACTTAGGGACATGGTTTAGTGGTGGAGTTGGCAGTGCTAGGTTAACGGTCGGACTCGATGATCTTAAAGGTCTTTTCCAACCTGAACGATTCTATAATTGCGGGTACAAAGTACCCACTAGTACTTATCACGAAGTACAAGTAATCTGTTTTACAGCATGGCAGAAGACACCTGCATTACTCATACACATTGGTCAAATCTTGACCCGTTCATGCTCCAGTCTGAAAGTAACGCAGCTTTGCCGAGCGCTGCCACTCTCTCAGTAGGATTTAACTGCCCTAAGCTGGGGCAGACCAGGCCCTCGGCTGGTCGGTGTGAAATACAGGTCGGTGCAGACGTTCCAACAGTCTGAACGCTGCAAGCTGGTATATAAAGGGTGCAAACTTTTAAGTTTTTAAATCCTATTCTTGGGAGCCAAATTTAAAGCTACAGTAAGTGACTTTCGGAGTCAGAAGTATCTAAATGCTTACTCTTTGCCCCTGTTTGTTCTATAGAAGTGACCACGTTTGATACAAGAAGAGCGAGCATTCTCCATATTGAAAAATTAGCGTCGCCACACTGGACTGAATCAAGAGTTCAACTCTTTCTTGTGAAAAGATGCTACTAATCCCTATTCAGGCCCTTAGAAGACTAAATAACCCACAGCTGACGACCCTGTCACCTACTAAGGAGAGGAGATAGTTGGGAAAGGCACTCTACAACACCCAATTAGGACAACTCACAGGCATCTTTTGCAGTGCATCCATTCTAACTAATCTAAACTAAATTCTAACTAATTATTCCTGTATAAACCTTTCAAAGGACAGCATCCTATTGCCTTACTCACTCTCAGTCTCTCTAGGATTTCATGAAAGCTCACACTTGAGAATGCATGTAACTGTAAAATAACTTTCATTCCTTTATTCAAACTTCACATATACAATGGACAAAAAGACATTTTAAAATAGATCCATATAATTATATGGATTTTTGCAACATATCAAATTCAGATCAAAATTAAGATATACACTATTCCATAACCAAGCTAAAGCTTAAAGTGTATACTTCATTTGTGTAATAAAACCCAGGAACTACTCTGAATACTGGAACATTCACCAGTCAAATTCCACCGAGTGAGAAGTTGTTTATAGCAATTTGGAGGTTCAGAATCCCTCTTTTCAGGGGCTATACAACCACACTGTAAACAAGTATTTGAATTAGGCAGTTACCCTTCTATTCTTCCAAACAGCCTTCATTTTGCAAAAGCAGCTGCTGTAAGTTGCAATGGATACAGGAAGATTTAGACCAGTGGTTTTCAGTATGCAGGTTACCAACCCCAAATGAGTAGGAGATCATCAGCAGTTATCTTTCTGTATAAAGAACAGCCAGAGCCTAAACCTCAGCTCATCTTCACAGTCCTGATGTGGATTTGCTCATGGCTGGGTGTTTTTCCTCAGGTGCTAGTAGCACAAGCACTCTTCACGCAACTGGAAAGGACCAAAAGTTTGAAGTGAGCCAGAAGAGTGACAGTGGATGTGGTTTTAAGAGAAAAGTTGGAGGGAACTTCCATGTTCTCATGATAAGCCAAAGAGAGCTCCACAAAACATCCAGTCCCAATGGAAGAGATGACAGTTAAATGCAAAGTTCAAGTTAGCACATTTCCAGTGTAAAAACATTCCCTCCACCAAACGTTAGTACTGCCTCAGTCAGAAACTAACAACTGATTCCAAACACCACTCTTAAAAAATAATACCACTCTTCTTGTAAAGACTGGGAAGGTACAGGAAATAACGTACTCAAATCTATATTAACAGGTCAACATTTTGCAAAAAAGTTGTAAGACTTAAATAATCCCTTTTTAAACTGCTTAACACATCCGATAAATAGCTTGCATGTCAATCTGATATATGTTGTACCGTTTGGCTCTTGAATCCTAAACCTTTCCATAAGAGATACCACACCTAGAACACTGTCAAATAAATAGTGAAAAACCAAGATACTGTGTTTCGAAGCATGAAGAGTAACAGTACATTATGCAAGATAATCAGCGTTATACACACAGGGAATGCCATTCTGGTTGAACAGATTATGAAGCAGTATTCTCCATGAAATACTAGGCACAAGAATAAATCAATTAGACAGGTTTTTCTGCCTAATGGACAAGTCTAAAATTAACATTCTTGGCAATACAACATTGTAACTGATATGCTTCTCAATATTTAAGAGCCTTAATTGCAAAAATCATGAAGCGATGTTTATATTTGTGTCTTTGACAAGCAGTTACAGTTCTGGACAGATTTCTTCTATGCTGTGTGCTCTACTTTCCAGCTGGTCACGAGTAGCATGTGCTGCATAAGAAAGATTACAAAAAATAGGTAATTCTTCACACTCATTGAGTATTTTCAAAACACATACAAAAAGCCTCCTGAAATCATCTTTGCTTCTCCAAAGGTTATGTTTGCCAATTCCTTTTAGCAACCTACAAGATGTACTTTGGAAGTTTCTGCACTCTCAAACTAAGTTATTTCACCCTCATGTTCTGAAGAAATGGCTAACACCATTGTTCACATACCAAGCACTGAGTGCTTACCAACCCTGGAACTGGGAGGATTTAACCCAGGAGTTAAGAGAGAGATCAATTTGCAGAACTAGCATATGAGGTTCCTGAAACACAAGCAAGCATAGTACTTTTCAGGTCAAATTCCAATTCCAGAGGAGACACTTTAAAACAAAACAAGCTTATAAATGAAGGAGCACAGACTTCTTGTGTTTTTTCAGGAAGTCATTAAACTCATGGTTTTGAGCCACAGAACAGCAATAAATCAGAGAAAGCTCCTTTCTCATTAGTGCTTTTCATATGAAAAAGCCCACTATACATATATAAATAAATATGTGTATATATATGCACACCTGAAAATTCAGCGGCATAAAGCAAAGATCAGAGAAAACCACAACCAGAAGATAATCTTCTCTAAAAAAGGCCAGTTAGGCTTCAGCACAAGTTAGACTTGGTAACAAGTGCAGTTTAGCAAGTGAATAACATAGCTAACAAGCAGAACCAATTCCTGTATGCTCCCAGCCTTCTCACTTAAGTCATCTTTAGGGTGACGCCCACCGTGGTTAAGAAAACACAATGAATTCTGTATCTACCAAAGGCCAAAAGAGCACACGCCCCGTCAGCTGGCTGCTAAGCTGATCAGCAGTGTCTGAGCAGGGTTATCACAGCAAGGAATGCTAAATGAACCACGAGGAGAGAACAATAGTTTTACTGCCTGTCAATTGAACTGCTATAGATCACACCCTTGTATGTGATACTCCGTGTAGCAGAAGACAAGACAGGTCTGCATTGAAATCATCATGCTTAAATCTACCTACATCAGGAATCTTTCCCTCAGTGAGTTCAAAGAGAATTTTTAAAGGAAAAGTGTTAGTGGAGAGGAACAAAGGTCACTATTTTGCTGGCAAAGTCTATTTATGTCGTTCATGGAGTCATAAATAGGGAATAGCCAGAGAAATTCCAGAGAAGCTGAAATGCTGAAGCACGGAATCCTAATGCAGCCAATTGCAACTTGAACTTTCTTTTCCACCAAAAAACTCAGCTGCTAGAATCCGTATGCATGGGGTAAGTTACAGCTACTTGAGGCAAGAAAGGAATGACCCATCCACTTAAAACACTTGGTAGCCCACAATGAAGACAGGGGCAAAAAATATACAAACAGTTCTCACCATCACTGACTGGACTGGCCATCTTCGTTTCAATCAGCAAGAAATCTCAGTCTGTAACCAAGAAGCGCAACTCATATTAGCAGACCTGGTGGTATCTGACAGAAGCCTTCTTAAAAACTTGTCCTAAGTCTTTAGCCCCTTCTTCAAAAGGAGAGTGTAGAGATTGGAAGAGTACTGTCAGTTTTACTCAAATACAAACCAGATGTGATTAGAGGGTAGAAAGGAGCATCAGATAAGAGAAACACAGAACCTTTAAGGGATCTTCACGGACAAAAAAATTCCAAGTGAGAAGAGGGTCTCAAATTGCCTGAAAAACAACCCAGGAGCCAGCGGAGCCCTAGAGTCACAACAGACCACTAAGAAATGCCTCTTATGTTACATCTTCACTTGGAATGATCATCAGTACTATAGAAGTCATGCTATTCCACTGGAATAAAAAGCCAGCTCTCACTTCATAGATTGACAGCCTCAGACATAATAGGTGTGTGGTAGCCACATCACCAGATGATCTCTGTAACTTCAGAAGAACAATGAGTCCAATGGAAGAAATTATCAAAATGTAGCTACAGTACAACATGCAGAAAAAGACATTTCCTTTGCAGTTGAAAGCAAGCGTCAGAGCTGTTAGTCAGTTTAACAGAGTGAAGCCAAAATAAGCCATCACAAAAAAATCAGCTCCTGCATCACCCCATACACTGAGTAAGGAAAACCCTCCTTTTCTGCTCTATAAGAAAGCACTTTAAAATACAACGATTTGAAGTCGATAGAGCTCTTCGAAAGCCATCCAGATGAATAATCTTGCCACATGCTTACAGTCCTAACAGGGGAATCTCAGGCACAATAACATTAATAGCATTTTGATCCACTTCCGTGAAGGAAACAACCAAATTGAAATACTGTTTTAAATACCCAATTGCTTAATATGACCAAAATCATGGTGCAATCAAAAGCACAGACTAGCAAAAAACCCAAGTAGCGAGTGTTAAAGCCAGCTATTTGAGAAACATTCTGTAGCTCTAATATTTGTTTAATTAACATTTATGAATAAGGAGATTCTTTTGTGCCCTCAGAATACAGAGAGTGATAAAGAGATGTCATCTCAAAAAAGTTATTTCAGTAAAGCTTTGACATTACTTTAACAGAGCTATGTTGCTGAACATTTATCATCTCAATGTAGGAATTTCTTAAAACGTGGGCGGTGGCAGAAGACAGAGAAGTTTATTAACGGTTTTGTCCATATTCCATCATGCTTTGCCCAACCCTGCCACAAAGAATCACCCATGATCAGTCTGAGGGCATTCAATTCACCAGCTGCTACAAAAGTGAGACCAGTACTTAACCTCAGAAGAACTGATCAAGTACAAAGACCAAAAGCTATGATAGTTGATGCAGAGATTAGAAGACAATGAAACATTGAAGGTTTGTTAAGCAGAATGATACAAAACAAAAATGAAGAATTCAGAACTACATCAAGTTAATGGAAAGTATTTCTATATACTGTGGTGTGGAGGCAAACCAGTTAGTTAATGGGTTGATAAACTGGCAAACAGTTACATTTACGGAATCTATTGGCCATGAGCAGTCTAAAATTGATAATTACCAGTTGTGGCTCTGAAGCTGGTTATGAGGCAAGGTGGAATGGACTTCAACAATAGAGATGGAAAAATGCTGCAAAGGTGTGCCTTCTTTCCACTGGAGAATGCAGCTGGGGAGCGGAGTTGCCTCTGTTTTACAGCAGAGTGCAGAGAGATGGCAGCTTCAGGCCATGGAGAAAGGTCATAAGGTTGCCTATTGGAGCCCTCCTTTCCCCTGGAGAGTGAAGTTCTAGTAAATAGCCATTATAAGGCGTATGGTAAATTACGGGATAAAGTCAGTCCATTAATGGGTCTCAGACACATACCAAATTACCCTTTTGGAGCAATTATGAAGGATTTAGTCCTCCTGTAATAAATAATGGGACTAAAATGTGCAATCCACAGAACTTAAAAACACAGAACTTTGCAAATCACCTTTTTATTGTGTGGAATTTAAACTAATTTTAGAAGAGTTCCTAGTTCACATGATTGTGAAAAGCAAATGTGAACCAAGTTAAACCCGTGCAGCATCTTCCCAAGTCTGCAGATTGTGCTAAGGTCTCATGGCTTTGCCAAGCAACAGATGAATGAGGCTTACAGACTTCATTGCCACTAGTCTCATGAGCAACAGACATCTATTTTTTTAATGCCGAAAACTTGTTCAAAGTGCTGTTATGCACAGAGGTGGGTCGTGAACAGCTGTAATTATTCACCAGAAGGCCACCACAAAAATCAAAGACTTTTATCATACAGTCTACCCTTTTCACCCGGAGAAAAGCTTAAAGATGAAGGAGAAGGTGTCAGCCTCTTATGAGTTTCCTGTCAAGAGACAGCCCTGAAGCAGGTTCCAGAAACAGCTCCCAGCTAAAAGTCCCAGACCTTCTTCCAGTAGCTGCACTAAAAGCAAAGCTGAGGGTCTTATCCCATACTATAGAAACGAGCACTACTGCTCAGGGGCAAGTGCATACTGAAGTCCTAACAGCAGTTTTACATTACAGTAAGACAGGCAGAAGTTCTCACTTAGGAAGTTAGATACACTCCTCTCAACAGAGAGGAAACATTCGTGCTAGTTTCCCATTGCTGGCTACAGAACGGTTTGGGAGCAGAATAGGAACTAAACCACAACGTAAGGTCAGGCTCTCCCGTGCAGCCATAGCTTTTAAGTGTTCTGTACAAGACAGCTCTTCCTTTAAAAAGGATGCTGGCAACTTCACTACCAGAAGTCAGTTATGCTGGAGAAATAGTATGAAGCAGAGGTGTTGGCTTTTCTGTTATGTCACAACAAACGCCCACATGCTTAATTAGCAATACTGATGGTTTTGATACCATGCTACAAATCTACCTATCAAGACAGCATGCAGTATTGCACGTTGAGCGTTACATACATAGTGTACCCTTTCTATTCATTCTCACACTTGAGTGTATTCGTTTCCCAACAGCTGAAAGGACCACCAGTACTTAAACATGCTTTTTGATTAATCAGCTCACCATGTTCGGTAGCTTCAGTACTCATTGTTTCTACATCTGCAGCATCATGCATCTCTTCATCCTCATCCTCATCATCCTCCTCCTCCTCTTCTTCACCGTGTAATTCTTTTGCAATGAGCTGTCTTGCCAGTTTGATGTTTCGTCCTTCATTGTAGTGCATTTTTCTCTTCATTTCAAACTGTTTCTTTTTCTCTGTGGACAAACAAATGCAAATATTTATTTCTTCCATTAAAAAAAAAACTAAAACCAACTTATTTCCTCTTCAGAGAGGAACTAACTGCTTCCTAGGTCAAATTAATTCCTACCTTGAAAGTCCATTGATTCTTTGATCAAGCAATCACTGAATTAAAATTATTTTCTTCAAGCAGTGGAGTGTTCTTTTAAATGAGTCTGACTTACAAAAAGGCTAGTAATTAATGGACTGGAATTGCTGAAGCACTTTTAAAAGAACCTGTCTGCAAGTAAGAGCAAGTCTGAACCAAGAGAAGCATCTAGTAACAGCACATGAAATTCCAAAGTTTCGCAAGCCTTGTTTCTAAGTAAACTTAAGGACAAATTGAGACGTACTGGTGGGATAGAAGATGAACTTTCACAGATGTCCGACTTGACTCCTGGCTAACTACCAAAGGCCTGTTATGAGAGAGAGATTTACCACATGTAGAAGAAAATATTTTCCACTTTCCCCACGGCCTGAAGCCTAACCTTGCTCCATATATTAAACATTAGCAGGTCTAGCAGTAACGCATTATAATTAAATTAAACTTTGCTTATTGGCAGCCCCAACACTGGTTTTTTTCCCCTTCCTTTAGAGTAGTAAGGTTACACGCTCAAAGTTCGGGCCAGGAAAGATGAGAAGCAACAGCTAAATAACGCAAGCCTGAAACCATAGAAGTCTTATTGTTTGACTGTTTCCTCAAATTGTCCTAGCCCAAGCTAACACAAAACAACATCTCTGTTGAAGATGCATGAGGCAGTTTGCTTAGGAATAAATGTAGATTTCCTGCTGGATCCATCTACCAGTTGCTTTGAAGACAACAGGAATACCATCTGTATGTTTGCAAGCAATTAGTAGCATCTTAATTGCAGTGGTACTCATTGAATTGTTAAGTCTACCTGAAATATGTTCAGATTAAGAAGTACCCCCTCACCCCAAAACCAGAAGAGTTTCTTATTTGAGCAGTGTAGGTTTAAGAGGAATTCCCAGACCTTAAGCTTGTATACAAGGGGGCAGCCAGTAACAGCAAATTCCTGTTTGTATGTAGATCCCAAACCAAACAGTCCTGAGTGCAAACGAACAGCGTATTTGTTCAATCTTTCACTTACCCTTCAAAGACTATTTATCTCCATTTTCAAATGACAACATTTTTCTGTTAGACAGTACTTTTTCTTCCCAAATATTTCTTATTGAAAATCTGAAACTATTTGTAGGAAAAAAACAAAACAAAGAAAACAACTTATGCCTACCTCGTTCTTCAGGTGTTAATTCTTCATCCTCTTCCTCCTCCTCACTGCTTTCCTCTTGCTTTGCTATAATCTTGGGTCCTTTACCTTCAGCTGCAGCTGCCAGTCTACATAAAACACGCAATGCAAAATGCTGAAGCAGCAAGTTTTTCACCATTTAAAATACAGGAAATTTCAGAACACTCACAGAAACTTTGTTCGTTATTTTTGCCATATTTACGTGTACTAAAAACCTGCAAGAGGTTTGAAGTACCAGTGGCACTATCAAACACTGAAAACGACTTCATTTGACAACAGCAGAAGTTTGACTTCTAGAGAAAGCAGCAACACCTTTCCATGAAGAAAAACTACTCCAGGAAAGAGAAAATTATCTTAACATCCAGTCAGTTTTCTATGACAGTACTTACTTTTTACTCAACACATCTGCTTTTAAGGGCTCATTTGATTCTGAATCACTCACTGCATCCTCATCATCTTCTCCTACCATGCTTGGAAAACAAGAGAAGGTAGCCTTTATCAATAATTTGCTGCTTAAAATTTGCTTGATAAAACAGTCAAAACCTTACAACACTCAATTAAAAGACTCCTTTAATACTTGAAAAACTTGCCAAATCTAATTTAAATATTAATATGAATAACTTCATATTCTAGTACACAGATGTTAACTGAAAAAAATAAAATCAATACATGTCAGACTTATTTATTCCATTCAAAGCCTAAAGCCCGCTAGACATAAACCTTCTAAAAATTGACTTTGTCCTTTCTGACAGTTCTCCTCGATAGCTATAAGCCTTTATTTAGAAGCTTTGTAAATCTGAATATGTTGCATATAGCCAGTAGGCCTGCACAGTCTATCAGACAATCAGCTATAGTAAAAACTACAACATCCACAAAGTCAGTTTTGCTGTAAAACTACTGTGTCACCTGGCATCATTTAGGACAGCAGTTTAGCAAGCCTACCTGTGATAAGGAGTACTCGGCTCATCTATTTTCATCAAGCCATAATCTTTGCCTGCTGGGTGGTACGTAGCTATGATGTTCATTTCATCCCACTTCTGGGATTTTTTACTGAAATAAGAAAACAAAGTTAAATTTTCTTATATTCTAAAAACAATTAGTTCTGTTTGGCCACAGAAAAGGAATGTTTAGGACTTCTTTTGACCTCTGCTACATACTATGCACAAAGAATACTGTTATGAGACACAGGCATGTTCAAAGTATAGCTATTAAGCACTGTTTTCTACATACTTTAGTTAAGTCATGACAAATTTTATCAATGCAAATTTCCCTAACAATTCACAATATCTAAATAAACTCAGTGATCTCTAAATGTATGCTTATTCACATACGTATATTTTCTCAAGGGACTACCAGTCTTGTTCAGTCACTGTCCCATTAACTGTTTGCTCTTGTTACAAGTTACTGTAGAATCATTCTTCCTCTTATTACAACCCACAACACTTCAACGAGACCAAGTAACTTCCACCTCACCTCTGCTCAGTGAGCTGCTATGATTATTAGCGAAACTGTTGCATAAACAATACCAACCAACAAAACTTCCTGCAGTAAAATAAATAGCACTGAACAAGCTGGTTATAATACTGCTTTTGTCACCCTAAAGTGGAATCATAAAACAGAACTGATTCACTGCTGTAATTAAGCCGAGGGAGTTTCCACATTTTACACAGGCAGGCACCAGTGGTGTTACATTATTTAGAATTTCCTCAATTAGAGAATGTACCACTTCATGTATATTTGCAGAAACAAAAGTCCACCCCGACTGAGAAAATATAAAAGCCACAAGGAAAGCAATAGCCTTGTGGCCAGAGGAGGAGTCACCCCTCCACTGATCTAAAAGCCACAGAAATGTTTAATCAACAGAACCTATCAGGTTCCACATTCTCTCTAAAAAGATTATTGCAAGCCTTATGCAAGGTGGTCTTTCCCTTAGACTAAACCAAGAAATTTAACTTTAGAATAGTAAAATAATTCCACTATTTAATATTACCTTATGCATTAACATATTCCTGAAGTGTTGAAAATTATTATTTAAGGAAGCAAACGTTACAGGGCTTTGCTGGTTTTTGTTTTGGGGTTTTTTTTGGGGGGGAAGTTGGCTAGAAGGCTTTATTTAAACACAGACTGTTCCAGTAACAAATTACCTGATTTAAAAAAATATATTCAGTCTCAACAGTACAACTGCTCTTGAGCAGAATGTTATCTGCAAAACAAAACTGATAAAGCAAAATTCCAAGCAAAAACTAAATTTTACATTTATGGAGAGCACTGCATAATACGATGGGAAAAAAATAAAGGGATGAAAAAATAGATGCGGGAGTTAATGCTGAATCCTACATGCCACAGACTTATACTCCAGAAATGAATACAAATTAAGTGAGCTTAATCCCCCTTAGCGTGTAGTAACCAATGCCAAACTTTCATGTCTGAGGTTTCAGATCTATTTAATCATTTTGTTCAAACAGCAACACAAGAATTGCAACCTAAGCGGACAACACGAGTGAGATTGCCTGCTCTGGCAGGGTGGAGAGTCATGAGCTTCATGATGACAAAGCAAGAGCTCTAGTCTAGGAACGCCAGTTATTCAAACCTATCTATTTAGGAGTTGAAAAATCACCAGTTAAACATCAGCTAAACACCTGCTTAAAGTTCATCTGTGACTAACATAAGATGATCATACGGTTACATAGTGAGCGCATGAGAATTTTTACTAGCCATAGCAGTTCAACAACGGCACCCAGCCCCTATAAAGAGACAGAGCTTAGTCGAAGAGGAAGTGTGACAGATGGGAGAAACTCCCATCACATGCTTTGCGTTCACTGCACTTGCCCAGAGCACATCAAGGTTTATTGCCTGGGCTCACAACTCAATACCTGATAATAATATTGGCAACCTTAGAAGAATCTCTTTGGCATGCACCGCTCTCAAAATCAGACGGCCTACAGATAGCAATTTGGTAACTTATAAATACAAGACTGAGGACGATTTTAGTGATTTAGTTTTTCACACTCATTTCTCTAAACTTAGATTCCAACATTAAAAACCTTGGTTGCGGAACGCCTCCCAAAGCGCAATTTAAAATTCAGCTAGGAAAAAAAATTATCATTAGTGGCAAACAGACAAACATGTCATTTCACCCCTCCATGTAAAAAGCCGTCACAGGAGGGTGACTAAGTGCTCTAAGAACACACACCTCCCTTGATTGTCTCCAGTTTAACATGCTTAGGCATGCCTGAGCAGCATAACTTTAACGAGAAAGCTTAGGACCATCACAGGAAAATGCTTCCTGACACCCCTTCAGACACAGAAATATGAAATCTAATCTTCCTTAGGAAAATCAGATTTGAAAAATCTCAGAAGTGCTCATTTGTATTCTCTCACATCTTTAAATATATATAATCATTTATTTTGAGACCACACCTTGACAGGCGAGAAGTTTCTGCAGCAATATCACTCAAAGGAACACCTCTCACACCTCACTTGCTCCTACCATAGCAGACTCTTCTCTTGCCTGTTCCAACACAGCTGTTATGCACACACACACTTAATTACTTTGTAAAATGCCAGATCAGATCATTCACAGGCTCTCACAGGAGCCTTAAGACAAAAAATACTGCATACGAGGAATGCCAAGAACGCGTCTGCCATTTAACCATGATCTCGGCTCTTAGGATGCAGTTCCAGTGGTACCCCAATTTCACAAGCTTCCCTCTTGCATTGTATTTTCCTTAAGGAAGCTTTCCAAAGAATCACTAACAACAGTATAAGGTCAATAATGATGCAAATACATGAGAGCTCTACTGAACATGGTACTTTAAAAGATGACAGCTGACACAATGAGCTCTTTCATCTGCAGCTATTTTTAAAGGTATTCAGAACGGAATTTCAATATTAGAAATAAGCAGAGAGGCTGCTGACAAAGAAAGAAAACAGATACCGTAATTTATAACTAATTTTTAATCTTCAAAGAAAATCACAGCTGTACTGCTTATCATTCTTTTAAGTACAAAATTATTTTTCTGAAGTCAGAAATAACACTGATTGAAATGAACTGTTGCCACCCAAAAATACCTGCACACAAACCAGCTTTAAATACCGTATACGGATCTTTCCAGGAATTCTTCTAATGCAGCCTGCCGGGTTTTGCCTTGCAAGGTAAAGGATATTGGCTATTTCAGAATTAATCTAACTGACTTTATTGACTCACGTTGGTAAACAGGAAATAGAAGCTGGACTCCTGCTCACTTAACTGCTTTGCAAGAAATTACTGTGTACTATAACCAATACACCATACACTCAGCTCATCAGTCGGTAGCCTAATTTCTGATCATTCTTCAAGATGGTACAGAGGAGACTGCAGAAAATACAATAGAGGCTACCAACAGCCAGCTTTACTTTATGTCTGGTGGGGTAGTGAACACCTTGTGCTACATTACCTTAAAACTAAAGAACAGGGAAAAAAATCGCAACATTTGTGTAACGTATTGCTACTTACATTCACCTCCTTCAAAAACACCATCTCATTCCTTCAGTTGCAATAATTTCTCCCTGCAGAGCCGGAGCAGCTAACACAGGCAACAAAAGCTTTTTGTTCTTACCTTGCTGACTTTAGACTATATTCATGGCTTAAGTAGGCAAAGAGGAAAGGAATGTTACCATAATACAAAAAAAATAATTGCATGCCCATTTCATTTTATCATTATTTCTCTCCTTGCAAGAGTGAGGTCCCAAATGAAGAAAACCATCAAAAGCAATTTTAGAAACATAGAGTTCAGGTGAAATCCTGGTCATCACAATGTGATGGCGTCCCAGAGCAACGTTAGGCAGCGCATACTGGGCGCTAACATCAGGAAAAGTGCAAGAATTCTTACTGGTCGAGGACAGCTGCTGGCTGGTTGAAGGCCACTTCTTGCATATTTGCACTAACTCAGCATGTTACAATGAAACCAAGATCTTTTTGTCATTCAAAATACAAACCACACGCCCAGTGCATGTTCTCAAGTGTGAGATCTCTACAGATGAGTCTTGCACAACCAAGAATACATCTAACTACTGTTTCAACCCAGGAGAGGGCCTCTCCCCAGGGACACGCTTCTGGTTACCGAGAAATAAGCTACCTTTGAGAAGACCGAGAACAGACCTCCCACGGCAAAGCGTATTTCCCAAACCGCAAGCTAACCTCGTAGCGACTGTAAAACCTTTCCGTTTGTCTTTCTGAAGGAGCATGTAAAGATAACACTGCTTCTGCTAATATTTCGTGAACAGCGAAGAATCACATCGGCCCTTTCAGCGGCCACGCTGCACTCTCGGTAGGAGTCAGGACTACAGCTCCGGTCCCCCTCCCTCTGGCAGCCCCCACCTTCTCCACCCGGGCGCACGGCCCCGGCATCCCCCTTCTTTACACGGGCCCTGCCCCCAGCGGTCCTCCGGCCTCAGCGGGGCCTGACCCCCGCCGACCTGTGGAGCCGTGCCCCAGGACCGCCGCGGCACGGGAAGCACGCGGGAACGACCCGCTAACCCGCCTGCCCCATTACTGCTACGCCCTTGACCCCCCCCAGCACCA